TCTCTATGTTTACGTGTCTCTATGGGTGGGTTTCTATGAGTGTAGGTCTCCATGGGTCTCTGTATGTCTATGGGTCTCTATGTTTACGTGTCTCTATGGGTGGGTTTCTATGAGTGTAGGTCTCGATGGGTCTCTGTATGTCTATGGGTCTCTGTGTTTACGTGTCTCTATGGGTGGGTTTCTATGAGTGTAGGTCTCCATGGGTCTCTGTATGTCTATGGGTCTCTGTGTGTCTCTATGGGTGGGTTTCTATGAGTGTAGGTCTCGATGGGTCTCTGTATGTCTATGAGTCTCTATGTTTACGTGTCTCTATGGGTGGGTTTCTATGAGCGTAGGTCTATATGGGCCTCTGTATGTCTATGGGTCTCTGTGTGTCTCTATGGGTGGGTTTCTATGAGTGTAGGTCTCTATGGGTCTCTGTATGTCTATGGGTCTCTATGTTTACCTGTCTCTATGGGTGGGTTTCTATGAGTGTAGGTCTCGATGGGTCTCTGTATGTCTATGGGTCTCTATGTTTACGTGTCTCTGGGTGGGTTTCTATGAGTGTAGGTCTATATGGGTCTCTGTATGTCTATGGGTCTCTGTGTGTCTCTATGGGTGGGTTTCTATGAGTGTAGGTCTATATGGGTCTCTGTATGTCTATGGGTCTCTATGTTTACGTGTCTCTATGGGTGGGTTTCTATGAGTGTAGGTCTCGATGGGTCTCCGTATGTCTATCGGTCTCTATGTTTACGTGTCTCTATGGGTGGGTTTCTATGAGTGTAGGTCTCGATGGGTCTCTGTATGTCTATGGGTCTCTATGTCTACGTGTCTCTATGGGTGGGTTTCTGTGAGTGTAGGTCTCGATGGGTCTCTGTATGTCTATGGGTCTCTATGTTTACGTGTCTCTATGGGTGGGTTTCTATGAGTGTAGGTCTCGATGGGTCTCTGTATGTCTATGGGTCTCTATGTCTACGTGTCTCTATGGGTGGGTTTCTATGAGTGTAGGTCTCGATGGGTCTCTGTATGTCTATGGGTCTCTGTGTGTCTCTATGGGTGGGTTTCTATGAGTGTAGATCTCGATGGGTCTCTGTGTGTCTATGGGTCTCTGTGTGTCTCTATGGGTGGGTTTCTATGAGTGTAGGTCTCGATGTGTCTCTGTATGTCTATGGGTCTCTATGTTTACGTGTCTCTATGGGTGGGTTTCTATGAGCGTAGGTCTCGATGGGTCTCTGTATGTCTATGGGTCTCTATGTTTACGTGTCTCTATGGGTGGGTTTCTATGAGTGTAGGTCTCCATGGGTCTCTGTATGTCTATGGGTCTCTGTGTGTCTCTATGGGTGGGTTTCTATGAGTGTAGGTCTCGATGGGTCTCTGTATGTCTATGGGTCTCTATGTTTACGTGTCTCTATGGGTGGGTTTCTATGAGTGTAGGTCTCGATGGGTCTCTGTATGTCTATGGGTCTCTGTGTGTCTCTATGGGTGGGTTTCTATGAGTGTAGGTCTCTATGGGTCTCTGTATGTCTATGGGTCTCTATGTTTACGTGTCTCTATGGGTGGGTTTCTATGAGTGTAGGTCACGATGGGTCTCTGTATGTCTATGGGTCTCTGTGTGTCTCTATGGGTAGGTTTCTATGAGTGTAGGTCTCGATGGGTCTCTGTATGTCTATGGGTCTCTATGTTTACGTGTCTCTATGGTTGGGTTTCTATGAGTGTAGGTCTCGATGGGTCTCTGTATGTCTATGGGTCTCTATGTTTACGTGTCTCTATGGGTGGGTTTCTATGAGTGTAGGTCTCCATGGGTCTCTGTATGTCTATGGGTCTCTATGTTTACGTGTCTCTATGGGTGGGTTTCTATGAGTGTAGGTCTCCATGGGTCTCTGTATGTCTATGGGTCTCTGTGTGTCTCTATGGGTGGGTTTCTATGAGTGTAGGTCTCGATGGGTCTCTGTATGTCTATGGGTCTCTATGTTTACGTGTCTCTATGGGTGGGTTTCTATGAGTGTAGGTCTCGATGGGTCTCTGTATGTCTATGGGTCTCTGTGTCTCTATGGGTGGGTTTCTATGAGTGTAGGTCTCTATGGGTCTCTGTATGTCTATGGGTCTCTGTCTACGTGTCTCTATGGGTGGGTTTCTATGAGTGTAGGTCTCGATGGGTCTCTGTATGTCTATGGGTCTCTGTGTGTCTCTATGGGTAGGTTTCTATGAGTGTAGGTCTCGATGGGTCTCTGTATGTCTATGGGTCTCTATGTTTACGTGTCTCTATGGGTGGGTTTCTATGAGTGTAGGTCTCGATGGGTCTCTATGTCTATGGGTCTCTGTGTGTCTCTATGGGTGGGTTTCTATGAGTGTAGGCTCGATGGGTCTCTGTATGTCTATGGGTCTCTGTGTGTCTCTATGGGTGGGTTTCTATGAGTGTAGGTCTCGATGGGTCTCTGTATGTCTATGGGTCTCTATGTTTACGTGTCTCTATGGGTGGGTCTCTATGAGTGTAGGTCTCGATGGGTCTCTGTATGTCTATGGGTCTCTATGTCTACGTGTCTCTATGGGTGGGTTTCTATGAGTGTAGGTCTCCATGGGTCTCTGTATGTCTATGGGTCTCTATGTTTATGTGTCTCTATGGGTGGGTTTCTATGAGTGTAGGTCTCGATGGGTCTCTGTATGTCTATGGGTCTCTATGTTTACGTGTCTCTATGGGTGGGTTTCTATGAGTGTAGGTCTCTATGTGTCTCTGTATGTCTATGGGTCTCTATGTTTACGTGTCTCTATGAGTGGGTTTCTATGAGTGTAGGACTCGATGGGTCTCTGTATGTCTATGGGTCTCTATGTCTACGTGTCTCTATGGGTGGGTTTCTATGAGCGTAGGTCTCGATGGGTCTCTGTATGTCTATGGGTCTCTATGTTTACGTGTCTCTATGGGTGGGTTTCTTTGAGCGTAGGTCTCTATGGGTCTCTGTATGTCTATGGGTCTCTGTGTGTCTCTATGGGTGGGTTTCTATGAGTGTAGGTCTCGATGGGTCTCTGTATGTCTATGGGTCTCTATGTTTACGTGTCTCTATGAGTGGGTTTCTATGAGTGTAGGACTCGATGGGTCTCTGTATGTCTATGGGTCTCTATGTCTACGTGTCTCTATGGGTGGGTTTCTATGAGCGTAGGTCTCGATGGGTCTCTGTATGTCTATGGGTCTCTATGTTTACGTGTCTCTATGGGTGGGTTTCTTTGAGTGTAGGTCTCGATGGGTCTCTGTATGTCTATGGGTCTCTATGTCTACGTGTCTCTATGGGTGGGTTTCTATGAGCGTAGGTCTCGATGGGTCTCTGTATGTCTATGGGTCTCTATGTTTACGTGTCTCTATGGGTGGGTTTCTTTGAGCGTAGGTCTCTATGGGTCTCTGTATGTATATGGGTCTCTGTGTGTCTCTATGGGTGGGTTTCTATGAGTGTAGGTCTCGATGGGTCTCTGTATGTCGATGGGTCTCTATGTTTACGTGTCTCTATGAGTGGGTTTCTATGAGTGTAGGACTCGATGGGTCTCTGTATGTCTATGGGTCTCTATGTCTACGTGTCTCTATGGGTGGGTTTCTATGAGTGTAGGTCTCTATGGGTCTCTGTATGTCTATGGGTCTCTATGTTTACGTGTCTCTATGGGTGGGTTTCTATGAGTGTAGGTCTAGATGGGTCTCTGTATGTCTATGGGTCTCTATGTTTACGTGTCTCTATGGGTGGGTTTCTATGAGTGTAGGTCTCGATGGGTCTCTGTATGTCTATGGGTCTCTATGTTTACGTGTCTCTATGGGTGGGTTTCTATGAGTGTAGGTCTCCATGGGTCTCTGTATGTCTATGGGTCTCTGTGTGTCTCTATGGGTGGGTTTTTATGAGTGTGGGTCTCGATGGGTCTCTGTATGTCTATGGGTCTCTGTGTTTACGTGTCTCTATGGGTGGGTTTTTATGAGTGTGGGTCTCGATGGGTCTCTGTATGTCTATGGGTCTCTGTGTGTCTCTATGGGTGGGTTTCTATGAGTGTAGGACTCGATGGGTCTCTGTATGTCTATGGGTCTCTGTGTGTCTCTATGGGTGGGTCTCTATGAGTGTAGGTCTCGATGGGTCTCTGTATGTCTATGGATCTCTGTGTGTCTCTATGGGTGGGTTTCTATGAGTGTAGGTCTCTATGTGTCTCTGTATGTCTATGGGTCTCTGTGTGTCTCTATGGGTGGGTTTCTATGAGTGTAGGTCTCGATGGGTCTCTGTATGTCTATGGGTCTCCATGCATCTCTGTGCGTATTCGGCTTCTGCTGTCATTGTATACAAGATGATGATGACGATGTTGACAATGTTGATGATGTTGACGGTGATGGTGATGATGACGATGGTGGTGATGATGACGACGACGATGATGATGATGACGACGATGATGATGGTGATGACGACGATGATGATGACGATGATGTTGACAATGTTGATGATGTTGACGGTGATGGTGATGATGATGACGACGACGATGATGATGAAGATGACGACGATGATGATGGTGATGACGACGATGGTGATGGTGATGACGACGATGGTGATGATGACGACGATGATGATGGCGATGATGACGACGACGATGACGACGACGACGATGACGATGACGTCGTTGACGATGATGATGGTGACGACGATGATGGTGACGACGATGGTGATGACGACGACTACGACGATGACGTCATTGATGATGACGATGATGACGACGATGATGACGACGACGACGATGGCGACGACGATGACGTCGTTGACGATGACGATGGTGATGACGACGACGATGATGACGACGACTACGACGATGACGATGACGTCATTCATGATGACGATGATGACGACGATGATGGTGGTGATGATGATGATGATGACGACGACTACGACGACGATGATGACGATGACGTCGTTGACGATGATGACGACAATGATGGTGATGACGATGGTGATGATGATGATGATGACGACGATGATGATGATTATGACGTCGCTGTCGCTGCTGCACAGGGGGGCCAAGCAATGGCAGCCGGACGTGGAATTCATCGAAGAGCACAGCAAAACCTTCATGTACCCCACGGCCATCACGTCCAAGTGGGTGGCACCTCCGTGGAACGGTGAGGAGATGGCCGGACACGTGTCTAAGTGTGTCTGTGTCTGTGTGTGTGTCTCAGTGTGTGTGTGTGTGTGTCTCTGTGTGTCTCTGTGTGTGTGTGTCTGTGTGTGTGTCTCTGTGTGTGTCAGAGTGTGTGTGTCAGAGTGTGTGTCTCAGTGTGTGTGTCCCAGTGTGTGTGTCTCAGTGTGTGTGTGTCTGTGTGTGTCTCTGTGTGTGTGTCTCACAGTGTGTCTCTGTGTGTGTGTCTCTGTGTGTGTGTGTCTCTGTGTGTGTGTGTCTCTGTGTGTGTGTGTCTCTGTGTGTGTGTGTCTCTGTGTGTGTGTGTCTCTGTGTGTGTGTCTCAGTGTGTGTGTCTCAGTGTGTGTGTCTGTGTGTGTCTCTGTGTGTGTGTCTCTGTGTGTGTGTCTCTGTGTGTGTGTCTCTGTGTGTGTGTCTCTGTGTGTGTGTCTCTGTGTGTGTGTCTGTGTGTGTCTCTATATGTGTCTCTGTGTGTGTCAGTGTGTCTGTCTCTATGTGTGTCTCAGTGTGTGTGTCTCTGTGTGTGTGTCTCTGTGTGTGTGTCTAAGTGTGTCTGTCTCTGTGTGTGTCTCTGTGTGTGTCTGTGTGTGTGTGTCAGTGTGTGTGTCACAGTGTGTCTCTGTGTGTCTCTGTGTGTGTCTCTGTGTGTGCCAGTGTGTGTGTCTCTGTGTGTGTGTCTCAGTGTGTGTGTCTGTGTGTGTGTGTGTGTCTGTGTGTGTGTGTGTCTGTGTGTGTGTGTCTGTCTGTGTGTGTGTGTGTGTCTGTGTGTGTGTCTAAGTGTGTCTGTCTCTGTGTGTGTCTCAGTGTGTGTGTGTCTGTGTGTGTCTCAGTGTGTGTGTCTCTGTGTGTGTCTCTGTGTGTGTCTGTGTGTCTGTGTGTGTCTCAGTGTGTGTGTGTCTCAGTGTGTGTGTGTCTCAGTGTGTGTCTTTGTGTGTGTGTCTCAGTGTGTGTCTCAGTGTGTGTCTCAGTGTGTGTCTTTGTGTGTGTCTCAGTGTGTGTGTCTCAGTGTGTGTGTCTCTGTGTGTGTGTCTCAGTGTGTGTCTCAGTGTGTGTGTCTCTGTGTGTGTGTCTAAGTGTGTCTGTCTCTGTGTGTGTCTCAGTGTGTGTGTGTCTGTGTGTGTCTCAGTGTGTGTGTCTCTGTGTGTGTCTCTGTGTGTGTCTGTGTGTCTGTGTCTGTCTCAGTGTGTGTGTGTCTCAGTGTGTGTCTTTGTGTGTGTGTCTCAGTGTGTGTCTCAGTGTGTGTGTGTCTTTGTGTGTGTGTCTCTGTGTGTGTGTCTCAGTGTGTGTGTCTCTGTGTGTGTGTGTCTGTGTGTGTGTGTCTGTCTGTGTGTGTGTGTGTCTGTGTGTGTGTGTCTGTCTGTGTGTGTGTGTGTCTAAGTGTGTCTGTGTGTGTGTGTGTCTCAGTGTGTGTGTGTCTAAGTGTGTCTGTCTCTGTGTGTGTCTCAGTGTGTGTGTGTCTGTGTGTGTCTCAGTGTGTGTGTCTCTGTGTCTGTCTCTGTGTGTGTCTCTGTGTGAGTGTCTCTGTGTGTGTGTGTCTAAGTGTGTCTGTGTGTGTGTGTGTCTCAGTGTGTGTGTGTCTAAGTGTGTCTGTCTCTGTGTGTGTCTCAGTGTGTGTGTGTCTGTGTGTGTCTCAGTGTGTGTGTCTCTGTGTGTGTCTGTGTGTCTGTGTGTGTCTCAGTGTGTGTGTGTCTCAGTGTGTGTGTCTCAGTGTGTGTCTTTGTGTGTGTGTCTTTGTGTGTGTGTCTCAGTGTGTGTCTCAGTGTGTGTCTTTGTGTGTGTGTGTCTCAGTGTGTGTGTCTCTGTGTGTGTCTCAGTGTGTGTGTCTCTGTGTGTGTGTCTAAGTGTGTCTGTCTCTGTGTGTGTCTCTGTGTGTGTGTGTCTCAGTGTGTGTCTCTGTGTGTGTCTGTCTGTGTGTGTGTGTCTCTGTGTGTGTGTCTCTGTGTGTGTGTGTATCTGTGTGTGTGTGTCTGTGTGTGTGTCTGTGTCTGTCTCTGTGTGAGTGTCTCTGTGTGTGTGTGTCTGTGTGTGTGTGTCTGTGTGTGTGTCTAAGTGTGTCTGTCTCTGTGTGTGTGTCTAAGTGTGTCTGTGTCTGTGTGTGTCTCAGTGTGTGTGTGTCTCAGTGTGAGTGTGTCTCAGTGTGTGTGTGTCTCAGTGTGTGTGTGTCTCAGTGTGTGTGTGTCTCAGTGTGTGTCTCAGTGTGTGTCTCAGTGTGTGTCTCAGTGTGTGTCTTAGTGTGTGTCTCAGTGTGTGTGTCTCTGTGTGTGTCTCAGTGTGTGTGTCTCTGTGTGTGTGTCTAAGTGTGTCTGTCTCTGTGTGTGTCTCTGTGTGTGTGTCTCTGTGTGTGTCTGTGTGTGTGTCTGTGTGTGTGTGTGTCTCTGTGTGTGTGTCTCTGTGTGTTTGTGTGTATCTGTGTGTATCTGTGTGTGTCTGTGTGTGTCTGTGTGTGTATCTGTGTGTCTGTGTGTGTCTGTGTGTGTGTGTCTGTGTCTGTCTCTGTGTGTGTCTCTGTGTGTGTCTGTGTGTGTGTCTGTGTCTGTCTCTGTGTGTGTCTCTGTGTGTGTCTCAGTGTGTGTCTCAGTATGTGTGTCTGTGTGTGTGTCTCTGTGTGTGTCTCTGTGTGTCTGTGTGTGTGTCTGTGTGTGTCTCTGTGTGTGTCTGTCTCTGTGTGTGTCTCTGTGTGTGTCTGTCTCTGTGTGTGTCTCTGTGTGTGTCTGTCTCTGTGTGTGTCTCTGTGTGTGTCTGTCTCTGTGTGTGTCTCTGTGTGTGTCTGTCTCTGTGTGTGTCTCTGTGTGTGTCTGTCTCTGTGAATGAGGAGGCTTACCGCAGCCTTCGCTCGGAGGTTCGGAGAGCCGTGAGGCGCTGCAAGGATGGGTGGTGGTCGCGGGTTGCTGAGGAGATGGAGTCTGCCTCAGTGGCCCGTGATCACAAATCGCTATTTAACTCCATCAAAAAAGTAACCTGCAGCGCCACACCTATTACCATCATTAGGGGAAAAAACGGTGATCCAATTTCCGACCCCCAGGAACAGGTTCGCAGATTTGCTGAGCATTTCTGTGAGGTCCTGGGGGAGGGAAAATCCCACAGCCAGGAAAACATCGTGGCACAAAGTGAGGATGACCCTGCTGAGGCTGCGGTGCCTCAAATATTGGATGAAGTCACCCCCTGTGAGTGGCTGGCTGAGGTGCCATCTGCTGAGGAAGTATTGAAGGCGATCCGGAGTCTGAGACCAGGAAAGGCAGCGGGCAGAGATGATCTCCCAAGCGAAATGCTGAGGGAGGGTGGCGTTTGTGCACAGACTGCCCTATATGACATCATAACAACAGTCTGGACCACTGGACGGGTTCCGCAGGATTGGAAGGATGCCCTGGTGGTCCCCCTTTTTAAGAAGGGGGACCGCACAGACTGTAACAACTACAGGGGCATCTCACTCCTCAGTGTGCCGGGAAAGGTCCTGGCAAGGATTATTCAGCATCGCCTTGCCAGGCACGCTGAGGAGAGGCTTGCGGAGCCCCAATGCGGTTTCAGGAAAGGGCGGTCCTGCACAGATGCCATATTTTCTGTCCGTCTGCTACAGCAGAGGTGTAGGGAATTCCAACAAGACCTACATCTCTGCTTTATTGACCTGGTCAAGGCCTATGATACCATCAGTAGGCCTGGGCTCTGGGTCGTTCTTCGTGCTTTTGGAGTACCTGACCCTCTGCTCACGATCATTAAGGACCTTCATGATGGTGAGCGGGCCCGGGTAAAACTACGTGGCCGGGAGTCAGAGCCATTCCCTGTACACCTTGGGGTGCGACAGGGATGTCCTCTGGCTCCCACATTATTTAACATCTATTTTGACCACGTAGTTCGTGAAGCCTTCAATAGCTGTACCGGGGGAATCTCCATATGGTACAGATATAATGGGAGGCTAATCGATGCCCGGGTGCGGTCAAGGGATGGCTCCCTATTGCTCAACCACGTTATGTATGCTGATGACTTGGTAATAGCTGCTCAGTCAGAGGAGGAGTTGCAGACGCTGCTGCTGAGACTGGAGCGTGCCACTAAGAGGTGGGGCCTTACCATCAGCCCCACCAAAACTAAGCACCTGCCTGGGTATTTTGTACCATCGGACACTCCACCCCCACAACTCCCAATCGGTGATGGGGCAGTTGTGGAGAGAGTGGAGAGTTTCCCATACCTGGGCAGTGTGCTTATGACTGGCTCCAGTTTAACAGCAGAGGTCTCACTCCGAATCAGTCGAGCGGCAATATCTTTTCATCGGTTGCGTAACGCTGTGTGGAAGCTACCTGGTCTGTCGCTCCGCACTAAGCTTCAGGTCTTCTCGGCCACGGTCATTCCCTCCCTTCTCTACGCTTGCGAAACGTGGACCCCCTTAATGGAACATCTTCGCCGGTTAGAAACATTTAGGCTGACCTGCCTACGATCCATCCTGGGTTTAACCAGACTGGATTGTGTGAGGAGCTCACAAATCCTTGAAAGATCTGGGCAGGGTCCCATCGGTGAGCTCCTCCGGCAGGCAAGGCTGCGATGGCTGGGTCATGTAGCCCGCATGCCCAGCCACCGCATGCCGAAACAGCTTTTGTTTGGCCGGATTGAGGGGGCTAAGCGGGCGCGGCACGGGCTAGAGAAGAGATGGAGTGATGTGGTACAGGAGGACGTGGAGCTGAGTGGACTTGCCGATGACTGGTACCAGCGGTGTCAAGATCGGCCTCTGTGGAGGAGGCTCGTGAAGGATGCTACTGGGCAGTTGGAGGCAGTCGCCCTCCAACAACAACGGAGGGCGGAGGAGCGACGCTCACAACAGCGAGCGGAGCGCCGGGTGGCTAAAGCACAGCAGGTTGGCACAGTAGGGGGCACAGGTGGTGCATCAGCCAGTCATCTCAGTCAGTCGACCCGTGGCACCTGGGTCTGCCCCGTGACCTCCTGCCAGCGGGCGTTCGACACTTCACGTGGCCTCAGGGTGCACATAGCCTGGCACAAGCGTCGTGGTGACGTCACCGCCACTTAGTGGCGAATGGCGGTTGTTGTTGTTGTTGTTGTTGTCTGTCTCTGTGTGTCTCTCTGTGTGTGTGTGTCTCTGTGTGTCTCTGTGTGTGTGTCTCTGTATTCGTATCCCATGTCTCTCTCCCCGTGTCTCACCCCCCGTGTCTCACCCCCTGTGTCTCTCTCCGTGTCTCTCTCCCCGTGTCTCACCCCCGTGTCTCTCTCCCCGTGTCTCTCTCCCCCCTGTCCCCCCGTGTCTCACCCCCCGTGTCTCACCCCACGTGTCTCTCTCCCCCGTGTCTCCCTGTGTCTCACCCCCCGTGTCTCTCTCTCCCCGTGTCTCTCTCCCCGTGTCTCTCTCCCCCGTGTCTCACCCCCCGTGTCTCACCCCCCGTGTCTCTCTCCCCGTGTCTCACCCCCCGTGTCTCACCCCCCCGTGTCCCCCCGTGTCTCTCTCTCCCCGTGTCTCTCTCCCCTTGTCTCTCTCCCCTTGTCTCTCTCCCCCGTGTCTCTCCCCCCGTGTCTCACCCCCCCGTGTCTCTCACCCCCGTGTCTCTCTCTCCCCGTGTCCCCCCGTGTCTCTCTCCCCCGTGTCTCACCCCCCGTGTCTCTCCCACCGTGTCTCACCCCCCGTGTCTCACCCCCCGTGTCTCTCCCCCCGTGTCCCCCCGTGTCTCTCTCCCCTTGTCTCTCTCCCCCGTGTCTCTCTCTCCGTGTCTCACCCCCCGTGTCTCACTCCCCGTGTCCCCCCGTGTCTCTCTCCCCCGTGTCTCCCCGTGTCTCACCCCCCGTGTCTCTCTCTCTGTGTCTCACCCCCCGTGTCTCACCCCCCGTGTCTCACCCCCCGTGTCTCTCCCCCCGTGTCCCCCCGTGTCTCTCTCCCCTTGTCTCTCTCCCCCGTGTCTCTCTCTCCGTGTCTCACCCCCCGTGTCTCACTCCCCGTGTCCCCCCGTGTCTCTCTCCCCCGTGTCTCCCCGTGTCTCACCCCCCGTGTCTCTCTCTCTGTGTCTCACCCCCCGTGTCTCTCTCCCCATGTCTCACCCCCCGTGTCTCACCCCCCCGTGTCTCTCTCCCCTGTGTCTCACCCCCCGTGTCTCACCCCCCCCCGTGTCCCCCCGTGTCTCTCTCCCCCGTGTCTCTCTCCCCCGTGTCTCCCCGTGTCTCACCCCCCGTGTCTCTCTCTCCGTGTCTCACCCCCCGTGTCTCACCCCCCGTGTCCCCCCGTGTCTCTCTCCCCCGTGTCTCCCCGTGTCTCACCCCCCGTGTCTCGCCCCCCGTGTCTCGCCCCCCGTGTCTCTCTCCCCGTGTCTCACCCCCCGTGTCTCCCCATGTCTCTCACCCCGTGTCTCTCTCCCCCCGTGTCTCACCCCCCGTGTCTACCCCCCCGGGTCTCACCCCCCGTGTCTCACCCCCCATGTCTCACCCTCCGTGTCTCTCTCCCCCGTGTCTCTCACCCCGTGTCTCTCTCTCTCTCTCCCCGTGTCTATCTCCCCCGTGTCTCTCCCCCGTGTCTCTCCCCCGTGTCTCTCTCCCCGTGTCTCTCTCACCCCCCCCGTGTCTCTCTCCCCGTGTCTCTCTCCCCGTGTCTCTCTCCCCGTGTCTCTCTCCCCGTGTCTCTCTCCCCGTGTCTCTCTCCCCGTGTCTCACCCCCCGTGTCTCCCCGTGTCTCTCACCCCGTGTCTCTCTCCCCCCGTGTCCCCCCGTGTCTCACCCCCCCATGTCTCACCCCCCCCGTGTCTCACCCCCCCCCCCGTGTCTCTCTCCCCCGTGTCTCACCCCCCGTGTCTCTCCCCGCGTCTCTCCCCCGTGTCTCACCCCCCGTGTCTCACCCCCCCCCCGCGTCTCTCCCCCGTGTCTCACCTCCCGTGTCTCACCCCCCGTGTCTCTCCCCCCGCGTCTCTCACCCCCCCGTGTCTCACCCCCCGTGTCTCGCCCCACGTGTCTCTCTCCCCCGTCTCTCTCTCTCTCTCCCCGTGTCTCTCTCCCCCGTGTCTCTCACCCCATGTCTCTCTCTCTCTCCCCGTGTCTCTCTCCCCATGTCTCTCCCCCGTGTCTCACCCCCCGTGTCTCTCTCCCCCGTGTCTCTCTCCCCCGTGTCTCTCACCCCGTGTCTCTCTCTCTCTCTCTCTCCCTCGTGTCTCTCTCCCCCGTGTCTCTCACCCCGTGTCTCTCTCTCTCTCTCTCTCCCTCGTGTCTCTCTCCCCCGTGTCTCTCACCCCGTGTCTCTCTCTCTCTCTCCCCGTGTCTCTCTCCCCATGTCTCTCCCCCGTGTCTCACCCCCCGTGTCTCTCTCACCACCCCCCCGTGTCTCTCCCCCGTGTCTCACCCCCCCCGTGTCTCACCCCCCGTGTCTCACCCCCCCACAGACAAGGTTCCCTTGCCCGAGAGGGACGTCTCCACCCTCACCATCAACTTTGGGCCCCAGCACCCAGCTGCCCATGGGGTCCTTCGGCTCGTCATGGAGCTGAGCGGGGAGTCTGTCAAGCGGTGTGACCCACACATCGGCCTGCTGCACCGTGGCACCGAGAAGCTCATCGAGTACAAGACCTACCTGCAGGTACCTGTAGAGTACTCAGAGTACTCAGGGTACTCTGTGAGTACTCTGTGAGTACTCTGGGAGTCTGTCAAGCGGTGTGACCCACACATCGGCCTGCTGCACCGTGGCACCGAGAAGCTCATCGAGTACAAGACCTACCTGCAGGTACCTGTAGGTACCTGTAGAGTACTCACAGAGTACTCAGGGTACTCACAGAGTACTCTGTGAGTCTGTCAAGCGGTGTGACCCACACATCGGCCTGCTTCACCGTGGCACCGAGAAGCTCATCGAGTACAAGACCTACCTGCAGGTACCTGTAGGTACCTGTAGAGTACTCAGGGTACTTTGTGAGTACTCTGTGAGTACTCTGGGAGTCTGTCAAGCGGTGTGACCCACACATCGGCCTGCTGCACCGTGGCACCGAGAAGCTCATCGAGTACAAGACCTACCTGCAGGTACCTGCAGGTACCTTCAGAGTACTCAGAGTACTCCCAGAGTACTCACAGAGTACTCCGTGAGTCTGTCAAGCGGTGTGACCCACACATCGGCCTGCTTCACCGTGGCACCGAGAAGCTCATCGAGTACAAGACCTACCTACAGGTACCTACAGGTACCTGCAGGTGCCTTCAGAGTACTCCCAGAGTACTCTGTGAGTCTGTCAAGCGGTGTGACCCACACATCGGCCTGCTTCACCATGGCACCGAGAAGCTCATCGAGTACAAGACCTACCTACAGGTACCTACAGGTACCTGCAGGTGCCTTCAGAGTACTCATAGAGTACTCAGAGTACTCAGGGTACTCACAGAGTACTCTGTGAGTACTCTGGGAGTACTCTAGGAGTCTGTCAAGCGGTGCGACCCACACATTGGCCTGCTACACCGTGGCACCGAGAAGCTCATCGAGTACAAGACCTACCTGCAGGTACCTACAGGTACCTGTAGGTACCTGTAGAGTACTCAGGGTACTCTCTGAGTACTCTGTGAGTACTCTGGGAGTCTGTCAAGCGGTGTGACCCACACATCGGCCTGCTTCACCGTGGCACCGAGAAGCTCATCGAGTACAAGACCTACCTACAGGTTACCTACAGGTACCTACAGGTTACCTACAGGTACCTACAGGTACCTGCAGGGACTCGCAGAGTACTCAGAGTACAGTACCTACCTGCAGACCTACCTACAGGTACCTACCTGCAGGTTCCTGTAGGTAGGTCTTGTACTCTGTGAGTACTCTGAATCCCTCACGCTCTCTCTGTCTCTCTCTCTGTCTCTCTCTGTCTCTCTCTCTCTGTCTCTCTCTGTCTCACTCTGTCTCTCTCACGCTCTCTCTGTCTCTCTCTGTCTCTCTCACGCTCTCTCTGTCTCTCTCTGTCTCTCTCTGTCTCTCTCTGTCTCTCTCTCTCTGTCTCTCTCTGTCTCTCTCACGCTCTCTCTGTCTCTCTCTCTGTCTCTCTCTGTCTCTCTCTCTGTCTCTCTCTCTGTCTCACTCTGTCTCTCTCTCTGTCTCTCTCTCTGTCTCTCTCTGTCTCTCTCACGCTCTCTCTGTCTCTCTCTGTCTCTCTCACGCTCTCTCTGTCTCTCTCTGTCTCTCTCTCTCTGTCTCTCTCTGTCTCTCTCTGTCTCTCTCACGCTCTCTCTGTCTCTCTCACGCTCTCTCTGTCTCTCTCTGTCTCTCTCACGCTCTCTCTGTCTCTCTCTGTCTCTCTCTGTCTCTCTCACGCTCTCTCTCTGTCTCTCTCTGTCTCTCTCTGTCTCTCTCTCTGTCTCTCTCTGTCTCTCTCTGTCTCTCTCTGTCTCTCTCACGCTCTCTCTGTCTCTCTCACGCTCTCTCTGTCTCTCTCTGTCTCTCTCTGTCTCTCTCTGTCTCTCTCTGTCTCTCTCTGTCTCTCTCTGTCTCTCTCTGTCTCTCTCACGCTCTCTCTGTCTCTCTCACGCTCTCTCTGTCTCTCTCTGTCTCTCTCTGTCTCTCTCTGTCTCTCTCTGTCTCTCTCACGCTCTCTCTGTCTCTCTCACGCTCTCTCTGTCTCTCTCTGTCTCTCTCACGCTCTCTCTGTCTCTCTCTGTCTCTCTCTCTGTCTCTCTCTCTCTGTCTCTCTCTGTCTCTCTCTGTCTCTCTCACGCTCTCTCTGTCTCTCTCTCTGTGTCTCTCTGTCTCTCTCTGTCTCTCTCTCACGCTCTCTCACGCTCTCTCTGTCTCTCTCACGCTCTCTCTGTCTCTCTCTGTCTCTCTCACGCTCTCTCTGTCTCTCTCTGTCTCTCTCTCACGCTCTCTCTGTCTCTCTCTGTCTCTCTCACGCTCTCTCTGTCTCTCTGTCTCTCTCTCTGTCTCTCTCTGTGTCTCTGTCTCTCTCTCTGTCTCCCTCTCTGTCTCTCTCTGTCTCTCTCACGCTCTCTCTGTCTCTCGCTCTCTCTGTGTGTCTCTCACTCTGTCTCTCACGCTCTCTCTCTCTCTGTGTCTCTCTCACCCTCTCTCTCACCCTCTCACTCTCTCCCTCTCTCCCTCTCTCATCCTCTCTCTCACCCTCTCACTCTCTCTCACACTCTCTCTCTCTCTGTGTCTCTCTGTCTCTCTCTGTCTCTCTCTGTCTCTCTCTGTCTCTCTCTGTCTCTCTCTCTGTGTCTCTCTGTCTCTCTCTGTCTCTCTCTCTGTGTCTCTCTGTCTCTCTCTGTCTCTCTCTCTGTGTCTCTCTGTCTCTCTCTGTCTCTCTCTCTGTGTCTCTCTGTCTCTCTCTGTCTCTCTCTCTGTGTCTCTCTGTCTCTCTCTGTCTCTCTCTCTGTGTCTCTCTGTCTCTCTCTGTCTCTCTCTCTGTGTCTCTCTGTCTCTCTCTGTCTCTCTCTCTGTGTCTCTCTGTCTCTCTCTGTCTCTCTCTCTCTCTCACCCTCTCACTCTCTCCCTCTCTCCCTCTCTCATCCTCTCTCTCACCCTCTCACTCTCTCTCACACTCTCTCTCTCTGTCTCTCTCTCTGTGTCTCTCTGTCTCTCTCTGTGTCTCTCTGTCTCTCTCTGTCTCTGTCTCTCTCTGTCTCTCTCTGTCTCTCTCTCTCTCTCTCACCCTCTCTCTCTCTGTCTCTCTCTCTCACCCTCTCACCCTCACCCTCTCTCTCTCACTCTCTCTCTCACCCTCTCTCTCTCTGTGTCTCTCTCTCACCCTCTCACCCTCACCCTCTCTCACTCTCTCTCTCACCCTCTCTCTCTCTGTGTCTCTCTCTCACCCTCTCACCCTCTCTCACTCTCTCTCACTCTCTATCTCTCACCCTCTCTCTCTCTGTGTCTCTCTCTCACCCTCTCACCCTCACCCTCTCTCACTCTCTCTCTCACCCTCTCTCTCACCCTCTCTCACACTCCCCCTCTCCCCCTCTCTCCCACTCTCTCACTCTCTCCCTGTGTCTCTCTCTCACTCTCTCTGTGTCTCTCTCTCACTCTCTCTCTGTGACTCTCTCACTCTCTCACCCTCTCTCTCTGTGTCTCTCTCTCTCCCCCTCTCTCCCCCTCTCTCCCAGGCCCTGCCATACTTTGACCGCCTGGACTACGTCTCCATGATGTGCAATGAACAGTGCTACTCGCTGGCCGTCGAGAAGCTGCTGAACATCCGCCCACCTCCTCGTGCTCAGTGGATACGCGGTGAGTGGCGGTGGTGGTGGTGGGGGGAAGTGTGGCGGTGGTGGTGGTGGTGGTGGGGGGAAGTGTGGCAGTGGTGGTGGCGGTGGTGGTGGTGGTGGTGGGAAGTGTGGCAGTGGTGGTGGCGGTGGTGGGGGGAAGTGTGGCAGTGGTGGTGGTGGTGGGGGGGGGAAGTGTGGCGGTGGTGGTGGTGGTGGTGGGGGGGGGGAAGTGTGGCGGTGGTGGTGGTGGTGGTGGGGGGAAGTGTGGGTGGGGTGGTGGTGGTGGTGGGGGGAAGTGTGGCGGTGGTGGTGGTGGTGGCGGTGGGGGGAAGTCTGGTGGTGGCGGCGGTGGTGGTGGTGGTGGGGGGAAGTGTGGCAGTGGTGGTGGTGGGGGGAAGTGTGGCGGTGGCGGTGGTGGTGGTGGGGGGAAGTGTGGCGGTGGTGGTGGTGGTGGGGGGGGGAAGTGTGGCAGTGGTGGTGGCGGTGGTGGTGGTGGGGGGAAGTGTGGCGGTGGTGGTGGTGGTTGGGGGGGGAAGTGTGGGTGGGGTGGTGGCGGTGGTGGTGGTGGGGGGAAGTGTGGCGGTGGTGGTGGTGGTGGTGGGGGGAAGTGTGGCAGTGGTGGTGGTGGTGGGGGGAAGTCTGGCAGTGGTGGTGGTGGTGGTGGGGGGAAGTCTGGTGGTGGCGGTGGTGGTGGTGGGGGGGGGAAGTCTGGCGGTGGTGGTGGTGGTGGGGGGAAGTGTGGGTGGGGTGGGGGGAGCGGCGGTAGAAGGCCTCAGCAGCCTGTAGCACCCAGCACCCAGCACCCAGCACCCAGCACCTAGCACCCAGCACCCAGCACCCAGAACCTAGCACCCAGCACCTAGCACCCAGCACCTAGCACCTAGCACCCAGCACCCAGCACCCAGCACCCAGCACCTAGCACCCAGCACCTAGCACCCAACACCCAGCACCTAGCACCTAGCACCCAGCACCCAGCACCCAGCACCCAGCACCCAGCACCTAGCACCTAGCACCTAGCACCCAGCACCTAGCACCTAGCGCCTAGCACCTAGCACCCAGCACCTAGCACCTAGCACCCAGCACCCAGCACCCAGCACCCAGCACCTAGCACCCAGCACCTAGCACCTAGCACCTAGCACCCAGCACCTAGCACCTAGCGCCTAGCACCTAGCACCCAGCACCTAGCACCTAGCACCCAGCACCCAGCACCCAGCACCCAGCACCTAGCACCCAGCACCTAGCACCCAACACCCAGCACCTAGCACCTAGCACCCAGCACCCAGCACCCAGCACCTAGCACCCAGCACCTAGCACCTAGCACCTAGCACCCAGCACCTAGCACCCAGCACCCAGCACCCAGCACCCAGCACCTAGCACCCAGCACCTAGCACCCAGCACCCAGCACCCAGCACCTAGCACCTAGCACCTAGCACCCAGCACCCAGCACCTAGCACCCAGCACCCAGCACCTAGCACCTAGCACCCAGCACCTAGCACCCAGCACCCAGCACCTAGCACCTAGCACCTAGCACCCAGCACCCAGCACCTAGCACCTAGCACCCAGCACCCAGCACCTAGCACCTAGCACCTAGCACCCAGCACCCAGCACCCAGCACCTAGCACCTAGCACCTAGCACCCAGCACCCAGCACCCAGCACCCAGCACCTAGCACCCAGCACCCAGCACCCAGCACCCAGCACCCAGCACCTAGCACCCAGCACCCAGCACCCAGCACCCAGCACCCAGCACCTAGCACCTAGCACCCAGCACCCAGCACCCAGCACCTAGCACCTAGCACCTAGCACCCAGCACCCAGCACCTAGCACCCAGCACCCAGCACCCAGCACCCAGCACCCAGCACCCAGCACCTAGCACCCAGCACCCAGCACCCAGCACCCAGCACCCAGCACCCAGCACCCAGCACCCAGCACCTAGCACCCAGCACCCAGCACCCAGCACCCAGCACCCAGCACCCAGCACCCAGCACCCAGCACCCAGCACCCAGCACCCAGCACCCAGCACCCAGCACCCAGCACCCAGCACCCAGCACCCAGCACCCAGCACCCAGCACCCAGCACCTAGCACCCAGCACCCAGCACCCAGCACCCAGCACCCAGCACCCAGCACCCAGCACCCAGCACCCAGCACCCAGCACCCAGCACCCAGCACCCAGCACCAGCACCCAGCACCCAGCACCCAGCACCCAGCACCCAGCACCCAGCACCCAGCACCCAGCACCCAGCACCCAGCACCCAGCACCCAGCACCCAGCACCCAGCACCCAGCACCCAGCACCCAGCACCCAGCACCCAGCACCCAGCACCCAGCACCCAGCACCCAGCACCCAGCACCCAGCACCCAGCACCCAGCACCCAGCACCCAGCACCCAGCACCCAGCACCCAGCACCCAGCACCCAGCACCCAGCACCCAGCACCCAGCACCCAGCACCCAGCACCCAGCACCAGCCCCCAGCACCCAGCACCCAGCACCCAGCACCCCGCACCCAGCACCCAGCACCCAGCACCCAGCACCCAGCACCCAGCACCCAGCACCCAGCACCCAGCACCCAGCACCCAGCACCCAGCACCCAGCACCCAGCACCCAGCACCCAGCACCCAGCACCCAGCACCCAGCACCCAGCACCCAGCACCCAGCACCCAGCACCCAGCACCCAGCACCTAGCACCTAGCACCTAGCACCTAGCACCTAGCACCTAGCACCTAGCACCTAGCACCTAGCACCTAGCACCTAGCACCTAGCACCTAGCACCTAGCACCTAGCACCTAGCACCTAGCACCTAGCACCTAGCACCTAGCACCCAGCACCCAGCACCCAGCACCCAGCACCCAGCACCCAGCACCCAGCACCCAGCACCCAGCACCCAGCACCCAGCACCCAGCACCCAGCACCCAGCACCCAGCACCCAGCACCCAGCACCCAGCACCCAGCACCCAGCACCCAGCACCCAGCACCCAGCACCCAGCACCCAGCACCCAGCACCCAGCACCCAGCACCCAGCACCCAGCACCCAGCACCCAGCACCCAGCACCCAGCACCCAGCACCCAGCACCCAGCACCCAGCACCCAGCACCCAGCACCCAGCACCCAGCACCCAGCACCCAGCACCCAGCACCCAGCACCCAGCACCCAGCACCCAGCACCCAGCACCCAGCACCCAGCACCCAGCACCCAGCACCCAGCACCCAGCACCCAGCACCCAGCACCCAGCACCCAGCACCCAGCACCCAGCACCCAGCACCCAGCACCCAGCACCCAGCACCCAGCACCAGCACCCAGCACCCAGCACCCAGCACCCAGCACCCAGCACCCAGCACCCAGCACCCAGCACCCAGCACCCAGCACCCAGCACCCAGCACCCAGCACTTAGCACGTAGCACCCAGCACGTAGCACCCAGCACCTAGCACCCAGCACCTAGCACCTAGCACCCAGCACCTAGCACCCAGCACCTAGCACCCAGCACCTAGCACCCAGCACCTAGCACCCAGCACCTAGCACCTAGCACCCAGCACCTAGCACCCAGCACCCAGCACCTAGCACCCAGCACCTAGCACCCAGCACCCAGCACCTAGCACCCAGCACCTAGCACCTAGCACCCAGCACCCAGCACCTAGTACCCAGCACCCAGCACCCAGCACCTAGCACCTAGCACCCAGCACCCTGCACCTAGCACCCAGCACCCTGCACCTAGCACCCAGCGTGTAACACCCAGCACCTAGCACCCAGCACCTAGCACCCAGCACCTAGCACCTAGCACCCAGCACCCTGCACCTAGCACCCAGCACCTAGCACCTAGCACCCAGCGTGTAACACCCAGCACCTAGCACCTAGCACTTAGCACGTAGCACCCAGCACGTAGCACCCAGCACCTAGCACCCAGCACCTAGCACCTAGCACCCAGCACCTAGCACCCAGCACCTAGCACCCAGCACCTAGCACCTAGCACCCAGCACCTAGCACCCAGCACCCAGCACCTAGCACCCAGCACCTAGCACCTAGCACCCAGCACCCAGCACCTAGTACCCAGCACCCAGCACCCAGCACCTAGCACCTAGCACCCAGCACCCTGCACCTAGCACCCAGCACCCTGCACCTAGCACCCAGCGTGTAACACCCAGCACCTAGCACCCAGCACCTAGCACCTAGCACCCAGCACCTAGCACCCAGCACCTAGCACCCAGCACCCTGCACCTAGCACCCAGCACCCTGCACCTAGCACCCAGCGTGTAACACCCAGCACCTAGCACCCAGCACCTAGCACCTAGCACCCAGCACCCTGCACCTAGCACCCAGCACCCTGCACCTAGCACCCAGCACCTAGCACCTAGCACCCAGCGTGTAACACCCAGCACCTAGCACCCAGCACCCAGCACCTAGCACCTAGCACTTAGCACGTAGCACCCAGCACGTAGCACCCAGCACCTAGCACCCAGCACCTAGCACCTAGCACCCAGCACCTAGCACCCAGCACCTAGCACCCAGCACCCAGCACCTAGCACCCAGCACCTAGCACCCAGCACCCAGCACCTAGCACCCAGCACCTAGCACCTAGCACCCAGCACCCAGCACCTAGTACCCAGCACCCAGCACCCAGCACCTAGCACCTAGCACCCAGCACCCTGCACCTAGCACCCAGCACCCTGCACCTAGCACCCAGCTCGTAACACCCAGCACCTAGCACCCAGCACCTAGCACCTAGCACCCAGCACCCTGCACCTAGCACCCAGCACCCTGCACCTAGCACCCAGCACCTAGCACCTAGCACCCAGCGTGTAACACCCAGCACCTAGCACCCAGCACCCAGCACCTAGCACCTAGCACTTAGCACGTAGCACCCAGCACGTAGCACCCAGCACCTAGCACCCAGCACCTAGCACCTAGCACCCAGCACCTAGCACCCAGCACCTAGCACCCAGCACCTAGCACCTAGCACCCAGCACCTAGCACCCAGCACCCAGCACCCAGCACCCAGCACCCAGCACCCAGCACCCAGCACCCAGCACC